ATCTTAATTCTTTAAACTAATTAGCTTATTATTTTATTTGTTACTTTGATATGTCCTTATGTATTTGTTTTCATTTTGACTGTGAAGCCCATCAAACTAGAATTTGAGAAGGTTTACTATCCATATCTCTTGATTAGCAAGAAGAGATATGCTGGTTTGTTTTGGACAAAACCAGACAACTTTGACAAAATGGATACTAAAGGTAAACATTACTCTTTACCTTCCTGTTGATTTTCTGAAGTGCCTCTTAAACTAAATTTGCATTGAGCAGGGATTGAAACAGTTCGAAGAGACAATTGTTTGTTGGTCAAAAACCTGGTGAATGATTGTCTTCACAAAATACTGATCGACAGGGACATTCCAGGGGCTGTCCAGTATGTGAAGAATGCAATTTCAGATCTTCTCATGAATCGAATGGATTTATCACTTCTGGTTATTACAAAGGTGGGAAGTCTATTGAATCTATAGATCATGCAATGTTCTTTCTTTGATATTTGCTTTTTGTGGAGCATTCAAATATTTGATGCGAGTGCACTACTAAAATAATTCCTTTGAATTTGGCATTAACATGGTTGCTTTAACAGGGTTTAACGAAGACAGGAGATGATTATGAAGTAAAGGCAGCTCATGTTGAACTTGCTGAAAGGATGCGCAAGGTTGTGTAAGATAATCAAATATTTTTGTAGCTCTGTTTTTGCACATTTTAGTTTTTTGAAAAATTAGATTCTTGTTGCAAAGGAAAAACAAGCTAGTGTTATAGTACATGATCATTTGCACTATATGTGCCAAAACATAAAATCGTATTTTCGAATTTTCACAAATTAATTTTAATTAGATGTTGGATTCTGTAGTCACTGCTCAGTTCCTTTAAATTGATGTTTCAAATGTTTGGGAAGTTATTTGTGAAACTACACAGTATTGTTACTGCTTTGAAGATTTATATTTATTGTTTTTAGGTTAGGGGCTTATTCAGCTTGTCATGTGTCAGTTCTTTGACCCATAAGTGCATTTTATTTGATTTTGTAATTGACAGCGAGATGCTGCCACTGCTCCAAATGTTGGAGACAGAGTACCTTATGTAATTATCAAAGCAGCAAAAGGTGCGAAGGTAATACCATATGTTCTCTTTAGTTTTTTAAACATCTGTTTAGATTTTCTGTAGACTAACACGTGTGAGAAAATCAGGCATATGAAAAATCAGAAGATCCTATCTATGTGCTAGAGAACAACATACCAATAGATCCTCAATACTATCTTGAGAATCAAATTAGCAAGGTTGATTATTACATTCTTAGATGTTTTGGATTTCTTCAAATTACTATTCTTTACCAGCTTCATTGTATCGCAGCCGATTCTGAGAATTTTTGAGCCTATTCTGAAGAATGCTAGCAGAGAGCTTCTACATGGAAGTCATACAAGATCTATTTCTATTTCTACTCCATCAAATAGTGGAATATTGAAATTTGCTAAGAAACAGCTTACCTGCATTGGCTGTAAAGCTGTACTTGGGTATCTTTCCTCCCCATCTTTGCTTAGTGTTGTTGTCTTGAAGTTCTAAGATGTTCCTGGTTGATTTAAATTTCATATATTCCCTTGTTTTGGTGTTTGCTTCAATAGATTTTTGTAAAGAAAAGACACATAGCTACAAAGAATTAATATTTATGCACATGCTGACATTTTTAATAACTAGGCTGTATGTTTGTGAAATTTTCTATTGACTTGAAAATGAACACAAGACCCCGCCCTAAAGATAGCGTATATGTTAGGGGGCAATACTCCTTCAGCCATAATGTTAATCAACATGTGATAATTTTTGGTCATCTCAGTGACACAGAATAGTTGATTCATTGAATTTCATATCCTCTATAAATTTTCTCCCTACTTCTCAGTAATGTTTCTGTTGATACTTCCTGTGAGATAGAATTTTGCGCTAGGGGTGCTATTGGTCTGTGTGATATTATGAGATATTGAAATCGTTGTGAGTTTCCTGGAGTATTTTTTATGGTTTTTTCTTAAGCCAAACAAGAAAGCAAGATTCTTTTGGTATTATATGAATCATAAGACCAAGTGGCTAGCTATTGTCTAGTGATGGAGGTGAAAAACTTTGCAGTTTTCACCTATAGGTCTCGTGTTGTATTTCCACTAGTAAAATACCTGATAATACTTACGCCTTGTTTTTTAAGATATCTAAGGTTGAGGATCACTTGTATGTATTATGATGCACGAGTATATGTTAGTATTGCAAAGGTTAATAATATTAATTTTGTTGCGTTTGGTTCAGCAAGGGTTATCACACCGTCTGTTCACATTGCAAAGGAAGGGAAGCTGAGCTATACTGCAAAACAGTATCTCAAGGTAGGCAGGCATCCCTTGCGCTCTATATGTTCAATTTCAAATGGTTTATTTTTTATTGGACAAAAGTCACGAAACTAGTATGGTGTGGCTGCAGTGTCTGAGCTGGAGGTGCTTTTTGGGAGGTTGTGGACACAGTGTCAGGAGTGCCAAGGTTCACTTCATCAAGATGTTCTCTGCACAAGGTATGTTCATTTAGTGATATTGCTTGGATATCTCGAGTTCTCCATTTTTGGGGTTTAAGTGGCGCCATATACAGAATTAATATCCTGGAGTTACGGTGCGATTTATCCCTTATCTCTGCCGTTGTTTACTGTCCTGGCACAACACATCAAATCATTGTTATGTATTGGTTTCTTGTTACTCGTGTTTTCCCATCTATATTTTGTGGATTTCGTACAAGAACTTGCAATTTCTTGGTACTCGTGTTTATCGTGTACAATGTGTTGCAGTCGGGATTGTCCAATTTTTTATCGACGAAAAAAGGCACAGAAAGATATGGCCGAAGCAAAATCGCAATTGGACCGGTGGAACTTCTAAGTTTTACCAAGGTCAGTTTTTTTCTCAATTTTCTTCCCTCTTCTGTCCTTTGTCTTCATATTGACGTTGACAATGACCTGTAGAAATTCCTTAATTCAATAGTTGCAATAGATACAGCTGGAACATTCATCTTCACATCTCAGGAGTTATCATATATTTTATATGGTAAAATAAAAGGAGGTATATAGTAAAATAAAATAAAAAAATTGAGGTTTTACGAATTTTTGGTCATCATAACTGAATTGTATTCTGAGTATCATTTGAAGTTTCTGCTTAGATTCTGTACTTTTGGGTATTTTGCCCAATGCACGGGCCTAGGAATTATTTAGATATATTGTATTGGCTGGGAAGCAGGGCTGTGTCTAGGAATTATTTATCAAATTTTTATTTACATTCAATTTGAATTATTTTACATAACAAAATCAGCAGTAATAATAGTTATATGTATTGTCAATTAAATAATGACATGTTGATATCCTTACGTACTTAGTAAGTACATTCATTTTTCCTTTTTATTTAAAAATAATATATTTATAAAATCTGAAAAAATTACAAATTAAATTTATTAAAGTTTTAAAGTATAGTTTTTTTAAAAGTTATAGAAACATGAATGATTTAATTATAGGGAAATTGATGTTGAACTTATCTAATGAAAAAAATGGTATGTTTCAATTCCCATTATTTGTTATTTGCGAAAATAAGCGCGATATTTCACCGTAAACAAATTAGTCTTTGACTTTTTAATTTGAAAATGAATATTCATTTCTTTGTGTTATTAATAAAGTAATAATTGTAATTCTTATTTATTGATATTTATGCTAATATAGTTATAAATTAATAAAATTGATCATATATTTTTTATATTAATTTCTGAAAAATATAACTTATATTTTTATGATAATTTAAAATTTACTGATATTATAATTTTTATGATATTTTTAATCAATAGTAATTATTTTTTTTATAAAAGAATCTTTAATTAGTATGATATTTTTAAACAACATAAGGGATGAGAGTATACTTTATTAGAATAAAAAGTTGAATGTCAGAACGGGAGAAATGTTTTAAAAATGTGAATGTCATTTGATTAAAAATTATAGAAGATCAATGTCTATTTTAAAATTTAAATTATCATGTGTTTATAAATTATATTAAGCATTAATTAAAATTGTTAATTTATGTTTGTTAAATATTTTACCGCTAATTAGATAACTAGTGATCTTATTGTTGTGTTTCTAAAACTTAAGGATTTGCTAAATAAATAATCTGATTATGATTGTAGTTAAATCATAAATAAATATTGCAATTGTAGGTACCATTATATTTGCTAATTTTGGGAATTGAAGGAAAAGTTCTGCAAGATGACATTCCACGACAAGTCTTTGGACTGTTTCTATTGTTGGAAGGAAATACATGTAGCAAGGAGTTCAATTTCTGCAGAATTTGGTTCAAATTAGATTTTGCGACATCTGGTTCATAGCAGAATTTTACCTTGAGGATCACAGAAACCGTGGACGGAATGTGCTGTTCGGCAATCCTGATCGCACTTTCTGAGACTAAGTCCCACCAATTTGCTGATTGAAAAATTTATGTGAAATCCTCAAACGACAAATTATAGTTAGTTATCAGATGGCATCAACCTGATTGCAAGCAGTATTTGTTGAACTAATTTGATATTTGAAATGAGCGTTATGCGTAAGATGTCAATGTGATGAGATTATAGATTTTTTGTAATTGCTGCCTGTTCTGACAAGTCAGTGCGAGTTTATTTTGTATATAACAAGACTCTGGAAGTGCCCTAAAAACCCTAAACTTAGATTAACAATAATAATAAACAAACTAGAGTTTCTTTACTTTCTATATTTTCAGTAAAGGTTTCAACCATCAGATCTCTAGTAGTAAACTTTGTCATCTTATTCCACCTCCCATTTTGTACACCAACAAAGTATATGTCTGAATTTTACTTCACACCCTTTTTTATTTCATACATTCAATGACAATTTTGTTAAAGAATTTTACATCCGAAATTTCTATACATCTCATTCTTAGCTTGCTGGTATAAGGGTTATAATATTTTAATATATGATCTATACAACAACCTTCCCGACTCAAGTGTACAATCTCAGACGAGTTGTAATTGGCTTCCGGCACATTGGGCATGAAGATAACGTCGAGCCACACTCCTTGCAAGTCTGCATCGTAATAAAGGACAAATAAATATTTGACATATACTGTACTGATTACATGCGTAGGACATACGTTTGTTCTTTGACATAAAGCAATAGCATGTTTGATCCATTTAATACCCATTTAGTAGTTTGTTTGAGTATAAGAAAAGTGGGATGTGAAAACTGTGCCTAAATTCCCATTCACTGTTTACTATGCACAAAAAAGAACTTATAATCTCTAGGGTACGTTGAAATTGGCATTAAACATTAAATAGGTTCATTAAACAGACTTACTGTGTGACCACATCCAAAAGCCATGTCCTTCGGGTTGGTAAGACAAATGGGGCATACCTTGAAAAAGGGAACGACATTAATCTCGTAAGCTCAGTCATCTGAACATGAATATTTGGCAATACAAAGTTAAGAGAGAGCATCAAGGAACATACTGGTTCGATACCAGCTGGAGTTGATGGTTCAACTGATTCCAAATTTGTCTTGTGCGGGATTGCCATGCGTGCATTATCATGATCAATTACTTCATTAGGTGGAGGGAGCGGCCTTCTATGTTGATGAAGAACTGATTCTCTACTGCATCATTACGAAATTAAAAGTCAAAGATCCTAGAATATAATATAGAACTATCATATCTTTAGTTCATGGCTTACTCAGTAAGTTGTATATTTTGGGCAGCCCGGTACTGAAATGGAATTTCCATAAGGGCAGCAAGTGCAAACACTGCTTCCTTCTTTGATTCTTCTGTGTTCTCGGACATGATTTTCGTGAAGTTCACAAACTGAAGGAATAAAAGGAAAACAAATTAGATAATCCATTTCATCATTAAAAGGAAAAAAAAAAATTAAAAAGTTCATGACACTGGAATTAAGAATGGTTTTCCAAAATATAGATCATGGAAAAATTTTCCAGCCGTTGTTAAGATCAATCAGTCATTTACGTACTTCCAAACAGATCACCACCGGTTTACATACCAGTTATTTAACAGAACAATTCAAAGAGCACCTAATTAAAGACTTGTAATTGGAACGGTGATCGAGTCTATTAATTTTAACTTTTGTGTCCGAAAGCCATTATAGAATAAGATTTATAGTTTGTACAACAATTTCAGAGTTAAAAAATACTTAGCTCCAAAAATTTCAGTTCACAGTAAACACCCTAAAATTGTCAATTTCACATTGAAGAAAAAAATGGTAAAATGTTGCCTTAGCTGGTTTGGATATGTTTGGGGAAGTCGTGTAAAAATTCCAATCATAAGAGTAAATTAGATGGAAGGTAGCCAAATTGCTAGATGTGGAGAGTTAAAAAAAAACTATATACTAAATCATTAAAAACTATTTAAAAGGTTAATGATTTATCTATAAACATGGTTTATAATAATTAAAATGTGCTCAACCTAAAATATAGAAGACGTGTTTTCTACTTTTTTATTTATGTAAATGTAAATTTCACTTTTTTTTTAGGACATGCTCAACCTAAAATAATGACATGGTTTCATGAAGAATGTTCAAAATACGTTACCTTGGCCCCTAAATAAACTATTGAGTGAAACCTGGACGGAATTTTAGAGAACGTTAGAATAGATATATTAAAATGTCAAATAAGTGAAAAATATGAGAAATGTTTATCTCAATCATAACACGATATACTTCTTGCAGACATTGGGTAAGCCTTGTTGGTAGTCATTTTGAAATTTATGATTTACTAATTTCATGACAATAGATCTCCAAATTGTCATCACGATCAAGATAACAGCTTCATAAAATATTTTTTTTTTCTCTAATATCCAGTTTGTTGATAGTGTGTCACAATAGCGGTAGAAGTGGATGTTTAGTCAATTTGTAATTAAAATAATTTTGATTGCTTAGGATCTATTCTTTAGGATATTGCTGATTCTGTTTTTATAAGTTTAGAAAATATATGTTAAAGTAATTGGGTTATGCCTAGACACAAAGATATTTGTTTTGTATTTATTTATTTTAAACTCTATTTTAAGTGTAAAATAAACAACAGCTATTCATCCTCTGAAAAAACATATGTTTTTTTTTTTACAATTTCAACAAACTGGTATTAGAGCTCTCATCTTAAGGGATCTGTGAGTGAGTGAAATCACAATGGAAACAGACACAACACACATAATATCACCACTAGTTTTTGATGGTGAGGAGTACGACCTATGAGCTGCAAGGATGACTGTCCATCTTGAAGCCCTAGATCTTTGAGAATAGATAGAAGAAGATTATGCAGGTGGTCCAGTCAGTGCCTGGAAATCCTACAGTGGTGCAGCTGAAGACTCACAAAGAGAAGAAGACAAGAAAGACCAAGGCCAAAGCTTGTCTTTTCTCTTCAGCTTCAAAAATCATATTTACGAGAATTATGAATTTGAAATCTGCGAAGGAAATCTAGGACTACCACCTCAAATCAGAGTATCAGGGTAGTGAACGAACCAAAGGTATAAAGACACTCAACTTGGGCAGAGAATTTGAGATGCAGAGCATGAAGGAGACGAAAACTATCAAAAGTTATGCTGACAAACTGTTGAGCATCGCGAACCAAGTACGTCTCCTCGGTAAGGATTTTCCTGATGAAAGGATAGTACAAAAATACTTGTTACTGTACCTAAAAAGTATGAATCCAAAATATCAGCATTAGAGGAGTCAAAAGACTTGTCAAAAATCATCCTTGGAGAATTGGTAAATGCTTTACAGGCCTAAGAACAGAGGAGAACGATGAGACATGAGGAGGAGACAATACAAGGTGCTTTTCATATAAAAGCACAAAACTCAGGAGGAGGCAAAGATAAGAAGATCACCAAATGGAAGAACAGGAAACCAGAAAGCTTCAACAAGCACCAAAGTGACACATTTCCACCTTGTCCATACTGTACAAAAACAAACCACTAAAAAAGAATGTTGGTGGAAACTTGACATCAAGTGCCGAAAATGTGGCAAGATGGGACATGTAGAGCGGATTTGCAAGTCATCGGAGGAGGCAAAGGTGTCCACGGAGCAACAAGAAGATGAGCAACTCTTTGTTGCAACATGCTTTGCTACAAGCAATAGTTCTAGTGATTCATGGTTAATAGACAGTGGTTGTACAAACCATATGTCGAACGACCAAAAGCTTTTCAAAGAGCTTGATAAAGCCATTGTTTCCAAAGTAAAAATTGGAAATGGTGATTTGATATCAGTCAAAGGTAAAGGAACTGATACTATCGAAAGTTTAACAGGTTTGAAACATATCTCCGATGTCTTATATGTGCTTGACATTGACCAAAATTTGCTTAGTGTGATGTAGCTAGTTGAAAAGGGCTTCAAAGTTATATTTGAAGACAAGTGGTGCTTGATTAAGGATGCAAAAGGCAAAGATGTGTTTAAGGTGAAAATGAAGGCCAAAAGCTATGCTCTAAATCTAATGGAGGAGGAGCAAATAGCTTTTTCAAGCACCTACAACAACATTGAATTATGGCACAAAAGGCTCGGACATTTCCACATTGCGGGACTTCTATACATGCAGAAGCATGACTTGGTTAAAGGTGTAACAGTGCTTGAAGACAATATGGCTGATTGTGTGACTTGTCAATATGGTAAGCAAATTATAAGACCATTTCCTCAAACAACTTGGATAGCAACACATAAGCTACAACTGGTACATACAAATGTTGGAGGACCTCAGAGAGTATCATTTTTAAATGGTAATAAATACTATGTTATATTTATTGATGACTATTCAATATTTTGTTGGATTTATTTCTTTAAATTCAAGACTGAGGTTGCTAATATATTATGGAAATATAAAGCATTTGTGGAAAATCAAAATGGTTGTAGATTACTGACAATAAGATCAGATAATGGAAAAGAATATGCAAATAACACCTTTAATAGATTTTGTGAAGAAGCTGGTATAGAGCACCAACTCACTGTACCATACACCCCACAACAGAATGGTGTAAGTGAGAGAAAAAATAGAAGTATTATAGAAATGACAAGGTGTATGCTGCATGAAAAGGAGTTGCCAAAGAAGCTATAGGCAGAGGTTGCAAGCATTGCAGTATTTTTGCTTAACAGGCTGTCGACCAGAGTTCTTAACAAAAAAACTCCATTTGAAGGATGGTATGGATACAAACTAGATTTACAAAATCTAAAAATTTTTTGTTGTGTTTGTTTTTCATATGTTCCATAGGTTAAGAGGGACAAACTTGATAAGAAAGCGGAACCTGGAGTTTTCATTGGATACAGTAGCACGTCCAAAGCTTATAGAATTTTTCAACCACAAAATGAAAGAATTCTTATAAGCAGAGATGTCAAATTCATGGAAGACAAGCAATGGAATTGGGAGGAGCCAGTAAAGAAGAAGTTGCCATAAATTCCAGAAGTTCTTGATGATGATGATGATATAGATGACATCCCTATTAGAGGTACAAGATCTTTATCTGAAATTTATGAAAAGAGTAATGTAGCTGTCTTGGAACCTGTTGATTTTAAATAGGCTGAGTTGGATGATAAGTAGATAGAAGCAATGAAGGAAGAGCTAAAGATGATTGAAAAGAATGACACTTGGGAGCTAGTGGACAAACCTCAACACAAGCAACTTATAGAGTCAAGTGGGTTTATAACACTAAGCTAAATGCAAATGGTTCAATAAATAAATACAAAGCTAGGTTGGTTGTGAAAGGCTATGCTCAGGTGTTCGGAGTGGATTTTTCAGAAACGTTTGCTCCGGTTGCATGCCTTGATACAATAAGAATGTTGCTTGCTTTGACCGCGCAAAAGAGATGGAAAGTTTACCATTTAGATGTGAAGTCAGCCTTCCTAAATGGTTATTTGCAAGAGGAAATATTTGTAGAACAACCAAAAGGATTTAAAGTAAAAGGACAGGAGGAGAAGATCTACAAACTGAAAAAGGCCTTGAATGGTCTTAAACAAGCCCCTAGAGTCTGGTACAACAGAATTGATGATTATTTTCAAAACCTTGGGTTTATTAAAAGCAAGTGAAGCTACATTGTATGTGAATCAGACGGGTACTAATTTAATCATAGTTTCTGTCTATGTTGATGACTTGCTTGTAATAGGGAATAAAGAAAATTTAATAATGGAGTTTAAAGGTGAAATGTTGCGAGTGTTTCAAATGACAGATCTTGGCTGAATGTCTTTCTTTTTGCTTTTTGGGTATGGAGGTAAAGCAAGATCATAGTGGAGTCTTCATATGCCAAAAGAAGTACGCAAGGGAAATACTAAAAAAATTTCGCATGGAGGATTGTAAAAGCACCGCTACTCCAATGAACCAAAAGGAAAAATTCAGCAAAGATGACAAGACTAATAAGGTTGAAGAGCATCAATTCAGAAGCCTAATTGGTTGTCTAATGTATCTTACTGCAACCAGACCCAACATCATGTTTGCAGTAAGTATGTTCTCAAGATTTATGCATTGTGCTAGTGAAGTGCATTTTCAAGCTGCCAAATGATTGTGAGATACATCAAGGGGACTATAGACTATGGTGTCAAATACACTCACTCTCAAAATTTTCAGTTTTACAGTTATTCTGACAGTGATTGGGGAGGTTCAATTGATGACATGAAAAGCACAACAGGTTACTGTTTCAGCTTTGGTTCAGGTATGTTTTCATAGAATTAAAAAAAACAAGATATAGTGGCTCCGAGTGCAACTGAGGCAGAATATGTGACAGCCACTGCAACAGTAAATCAAGCTATTTGGCTAAGGCGTATACTTGCTGATTTACATATGGAAAAAAAGGAGCCTACATAGATTCTTGTTGATAATCAAGCAACTATTTCCATTTCAAATAATCCTGTTTTTCATGGCAGGACTAAGCATTTCAAGATCAAGTTGTGTTTTTTAAGGGAAGCACAAAGGGAAGGTGAAGTTAAATTAATTTACTGCAGAACTGAAGATCAATGTGCAAATGTCTTAACAAAAGCTCTTCCAAAATTCAAATTTGAAGCTTTAAGAAATAAACTAGGTGTTTGCAACTATTGAGGCAAGGAGGAGATTTGTTGAACGTGTGTTGCAATAGCTGCAGAAGTGGATGTTTAGTCAATTTTTAATTGAAATAATTTTGGTTGCTTAGGACCTATTCTATTTTGGTTGCTTAGGACCTATTGTTTAGAATAATGATGATTCTGTTTTTATCAGTTTAGAAAATATATGTTAAAGTAACCGTTGGGTTATGCCTAGAAACAAGGGATATTTGTTTTGTATCTATTTATTTTAAACTCTATTTAAAGAGTAAAACAAACAACAACTATTCATCCTCCGAAAAAACATATATCTTCTTTTTTTTACAATTTCAACAAAGTTTATTACAAATCCATGATATTGGTTTCAGAATTATCTTAAGTACAATCGACTTTGTCAAAATATCGTACCGAACTCCAATCCTTCTTATATCTACTCCAACTATCAAACGTAAGTTACCATAAATGCAGACAATATTGAATTTTCAGTTGCAATCGAGTACCTGAAAGTTGTCAAATACGCGCTCAGTAATGTTATCATCAAAATGCTTCATCTCATCCCATGGCCCATCTCCAACGCCGACCAAAATAATTGAGAGAGGATGGTGACTGATAATCAGAATATCCCACATTTAACATATACAGAAACAATAGAAGGGTACAAAAGAAATTTCTCTACCTTGCAGCAATGATGGAACTAATGGTTGCTTGTTCTTGTGGACTAAGCTTTCCGTGTGGTGTATCTGGATTTCTGGTAACCTGAAAAAAAACAAAAAGACGTTCTAGAAAAACAAAGAGAAGTAGGGAAAACAATTCACTCATTCCATGAAAAGAAAAAAATGGGAAAAAATTATATTGATAAAACCTGTCCATCAGCAATAATGACAAGAACATGATATTGACCGTTGTTTCTTTCCACGATGTCAATTGCTGCATCGATTACAGGGGCAAACGATGTTGGACCTATAAATTAAGGAAGTGTTATAATTACATCCCATGTATACGTAAGACCTCTCTCTCCAAGGTAGTTTAATTCAGTTTGATTTTATCTTTTAGAGAATTTAATTTAATTCTTTATGTTATTAAAATAATTTAAAATAATCATTTAATTAGTTAAAAATTAACTCTATTAATATTTAAATATATCGGCAGTTTAAAAGCACCACAAAATAACAGTTTTTAAAATTTTTCCAATACACACATACTGGTAGTTAAAAACCGACATTATAATTAAACAAGCCACACTCCTTTCTAGATTTCCTCTCCTATGTCAAAAAAATATCACTTTACTCATAAATGAAGGTCAGAGATGATTTATAAAAACCTTTGTCTCTTAATTTAACAAAATATATTTTAAAAATAAAATTGTGATGACAAGCAGATAAATTACTAGTTGAAATAAACAAAGAGGCAAGTAAAATTTTAAACTTATGATATGTTTGGTCATACAATAAATCATAATGAAATTCCCTCTCCCACTCTCTCGTCACAGATAATGGCATAAAATTGTAAAATCTAGTTGCAAGGAATATAATGCTGTAACAAACCTGACAGCTTTAAGTATGGAACAATCTCTCTGTAGCGTGCAAGTACTTCCTCAAAACCATGACAAAATCTATTATCTTGATAAAAACTGAACACATTCTTATCACGTGTAGAAGCTACAAAAGTTAATTCACTGGAATCAATAGAAGAGAAAACACAGAAAAATTGTCTAAAGTCAGAAAGGGATACTCACCATCACCAAATCCAAAACATGGTATCAGATTGTCTTCATCAAAGGAAGACAGAGTACGACCAATGATGGAGATAGCTTGCTCATATGGATTAGGATTGATTCCGATACGATGAAGGCTTTTTCGATGGAACGAGTGCTTGCCTACAATTACCAAGGTGAGACTTTTCTATATTTGCCTACATATATACATGTATAATATTGAAATTCCAAAGGAATTACCTGTCCACTCATTGCTTTTGGTGAAGTCAATACCAAGTATTAAATTTGAAGATTCCAAACCAGCTTCTCTAAGAGCAGAAACAACCTGAAATATATCTTAGATAAGCATGATGGTTTTACAAATAGTCATGTCTAATGGCAAAAAGAGGCAGATAAAGTTCACCGATAATTGTTGTGGTTTTAAAATGATTAACGAAGATTAAATGCATAACAAAGACATTTTAAGATCATTGAATTGAAATGATATAGTCTTTATATTGGAATTGTTATAGCATTTTAATGGTTAAATATGAGTTTTTATAATACCTCTGAGTGTAATTCATAATACAAGTAAAAAGAAAAAGAAAGAAAAAAAAAAAAACAGAGAAACAATAAAATAAAGAGTAATTTAGTCCCAAATTATTTTCCTTCGGTTCCAAAATATTTTGCACAATCTTATAGAAAATAAGCTTTTTGAGAGTTATATCAATACTACATCTAGAATATCAGAAATAAAGTGGTACCAGAGTTTTGGATCTTGTAAGAAAAAAAAAGAGAGAAAGTGAAGAACGGTTGCCACAAACAGCCATCTAACAACTAGCAGTACAAGTGGTAAAGGAAATTTGATGTTTACTTGTCAAAAGACAATTCAAGAGCGTAAAAACATATAATATTTGGATAGCTGTTGTGATAATCATATGAATGGAAATAAAGAAGCTTTTGTCAATACGGATTCTTCATTGCCCTCAAAGGATAAATTAGACAATGGAGATTATGTGGAGATAGAAGGCAAATGTAGTCCAACAGAGCAAGGAGGAAAGGTAATTTGCGATACTCTTTATGTGTCAAAATTAGATGAAAATTTGTTGAGTAATGACCAACTTTTAGAACATGGCTATTATCTTTGATTTGAAAATCGAGAGTGCAGAATTTTTTATTTAAAAAGAAAAGTGGTTGTTGTGGTGAAAATGACAAATAATAGCATTTTTCCACTTTCACTTGTTTATGAAAAAAGAAATCAATTTTGATGGTTAGAGAAGAAAATGACTCTTATTTATGACACAAGATACTTGGACACTTAAATTACAATGGCCTTATGTTGTTGTCTCGCAAAAATAAGGTGTTTGGGCTACCAAAAATTCAGAAGAAAAATGGAGTATGTGAAGGATATATGCTCGACAAATATCTTTGTCAACCATTTCCAAAAGAAGGAGCAAGGAGAACCAAAGAAGTATTAGAATAGGTGCACACATATAAATGTGGTCCAATGAATATCCTTTCTCATGGTCAAAATAGGTACTTTATTTTATTTATTAATGACTTGACTCACATGTTTATTTCATGATAAAAAAATATGAAGTATTTGATGTATTTAAGAAGTTTAAAGCAATTGTTGAAGTGCTCCACAAACCAAAGGTTTAAAGGAAAGGTGGAGAAGTGAAGCGGAAGAAGAGAAAGGCATAAAGTATCGTGTATATTTGGACATGTGGTATTTCAATCACGGTGGAAAAATTGGCATCCGCTGGAATGTGATTGATGAAGCATTGCATATTCAGAGCAAAGTTGTCATAATATAACATACACGATCAACCAAAAGAAAATGATGACTAGGGATTGGATCACCAGAAAGGCTTATGACCTTGTCAACACGATTCCTTCTTGAGCTGGTTGCAGTTTTAATCAGCGGCTTATATCTTCATGTTAACATGACTTGATATCATCATTTGAAGAGGAAGTTTTTCACAGTATACTTACTATTGCTGATTTGGGAAGCTCAGGAAAAGGTCTTTACTTATTTATATTGTATTATGTGTAAACATTAGAAATTTTGCTTAAATTTAATTCATTATACATCTCTTTTCTTTCTTTTTTTTACAAAGTGTTATCTCTCAAATAAATTCAAAAGATTTTGTGAAGATTAAACAGTAGACAAATTCGTCGTTGGCTACAAAATGATGTATTCAAGAGAAAAATCAAATTGTGATGAAGATGACAAAATTCATGTTATTTGAAAGCAAAACACCTGAAGAATTTTGGCCAAGGCTGTTAGTACAACAACAGTCTACGTATTGAATAAATGGTCCAATAAAAGTTGTTTAGAACATAATACCATTCGAAGCATGAAGTGGAAGAAAGCCTTCTTTAAACCATCTAAATTATTTTTTATGTGTTTGTTATGCTCAAGTTCCCAAGCAAAACAGAACAAAGCTTGAAGAATTAATTGTGAGATGCATAATTATTGGTTATAGTTCCATGTCAAGGTTATAGACTTTACAATTTGAAGACTAAGAATATGATCATTAGTCAAGATGTGAAGTTTGATGAGAAGGTTTTCTGGAATTGGTAAGAAGAAAAATTGGGGGACAAATAATTTAAACTACAAATTTGCAGCTGAGTAGCCAAATAACAACACATTAAGGGAGAGAATGTTAAATAATGTATTGTTATGAAGTGCTTAATGGAGATTGAACGCATAATGAATATATTTTAAGATAATTGAATTGTAGCCATGTAGTCTTTATGTTTGTAACTATTATAGCATTCTAAAGGGTTATTTATAACTCTTTATAATACCTCTTAATGTAATACAGAATGTAAGTAAAAAGAAAAAGAAAGAAAAAAATAGAAATAATCAAATTGAGGAAAATTCAGCTCTCAAATTATCTTTCTCAATTCAGTCCCCAAATTATCTTCCTCCTGTTTAAACATATTCTACACAAGTTTGTTCAATCTTATAGAAAGTAAGTTCTTTCAGAGTTATCTTAACATCACCTCTAGAATATTACCCATAGTGATCGCCCTTATACCGCTCAGCTTAATATTGCATATCCTCTACAAATACAATATGCAAAAGTAGCAGTTCTAACCTGATCCAGTGAGCTGAAATGATCAGCTATATATGTGGGTTGCTGCCTTTTTTTATGCCGAGTGTTCGCTGAGCTCCGAGCATAAGTAGAGGATTGATGATAGGTAGCATTAGAATAATCCCCAGCATAAGAAGATGATTCATGATTGGTAGTATTCTCCAAATTCCCAGTATATGGAGACGGCTGACGATAGGTATTGTTCACTGAACTCCCAGCATAATAAGGGGGATGCTGGTAAAAATTATCTTCAGATTCATACATTGACTCTGTATTTCCCATAATTACAGGCCTGCTTCCAGCAAAATAATAATAGAAAATAGAGGTAAAAAAAGGGACTAAAGTGAATTAAAGCAAAAACCAAAGCTCCAGAAACAATAACAGTTAAATATAACAAATCAACAAATATCATTAGGATATATTCTGGTGTCATTTCCAGCAACTACTGTAAAAAATTTAACATGTTCATTATGTTTTCTCAAAATCAAACATATCATAACTTCCTTCTAACAATACCCAAAACAACTAAATTCTGGTTTAAATAACAAAACATTCGAGTAGACACAGCAGTCACGTACATCTAATGACCAGATAAATCATTAGTAAAGTAATGAGATCAACACCACTATAAAACACATTAATGCACCCACTGGTAACACCTAACAATTAGCGAACTAAAATCGAAACGCAACTTACACACGGCTCTCTCTAAGCAAGCATACATATCTAGTCCATCATCACAGCTCAACAATGACTACAATAACTATAACACAAGCAAACGCTGTTTCGCGTCCAACTCGTTTTGCACGTAAAATCGAAGCTAAAATCACGAGGATTTCCAATAAAGAAAAGAAAAACGAAAAACAACTAGGATCGAGATTTCTACAATAGCAATTGCATCAATTCACAGCATCGCGTATCGCAAACTCAAAACAACGCCGTAATGCCGAAACCGATTCACGTGAATCGGCGAAGTTAGTGTTACGTATCCGCTACAAACAACTATTATTATTGCTATTATTGAAAGAAGAAGCAGAGAAAGAAAGAGAGAAGTGAGAATCGGTGTTCAAACTTCACCTTGTGGAGTTGAGAGCTTCGTCGCAGAGTGTGGGTTTGACGGTTAGGTGTTTGAGATTGAGAGAAGAAAAAGGTTGTTATGGCCATTTTTTGTTTGATTAGAATATTAGTAGTTTTGCAAGAATTGGACAGAGTTGGTGGCGTTTCTTATGCGTGCACCCGTTGAAAATTGTTTCCTTTCACATGTTTGTCTTGGCGTAGTTTGTTATGTTATCCATCGCAGTCAAAGCTTCTTTCTTCTTTTTATTATTTCCTTTTTCTAGAGGCTTTCCAACACATTCATCACCGCTACCCTTTTCCGTTCCGCCACCAAAATTTATTCTCTACGACATAAATTGCGGAAACGTGTTATCCATCTGTTTTATGATGAGCACGCTATGAAATTCAATTATTTTAATAATTGATTATTAGCTTAAATATAATAGATTATAATTAAAATTAATTTTTTGTTTGATGGGGTTGGACGTGAAGCAACAGGATAATGGCATTTTTTTTTCTCAAAACAGCTAAGTATAAAAGGTGTTGGAGAAATAAAAAAAGTTTTAGCTAATTTTGGTTATAAATACAAGCTATCAGTTCATTGGAAAGTGTATCGGGAAGAAAAAGGGTGGAGCTTGTTTATTTAAAGACACGGAAAGTTACTTGTATTTTCGTTAAGTCACTTTGTTTGAAAATTATTCTTAAAGGGAATGTTACTGATAATTATGACAAATTATAATAAAAATTAAAAATAATTTTAATAACTTTATGACAATAAAAAAATTATTTAATATAATTAATAATAAATAAAATTAAAAAAATACAATTTATCACGTTTGATGTTTTAATTTTTAATTTTTTTAAAAATAAACACAATTTTTAAAAATATTTTTAGCAAAATAGTTATCAAACAAGTTTTTTAATTTTAAAAAATATAAAATAAAAATTATTTTTAAAAATATGTTTAAGGTAAATTATCGACTTGAACAACTATAATAGAGTAATAATGCGGAAATTTCTTTCTCTGTTTTCCGATTTTGTTATATGACTTTATATAGATAGGCTTTATTTTATTTTATTTTGTAATACACAATTTAATTTTTATCTATTCAATACAATGAAATTTTCTTCAAAATTCAAATACTAAGACGGTATTAGAACTCTATTATAACACCATAATCTTCTTCCTTAATTTATCTTTCTTTCTTTTATTATAATTATGACAAACTAAAGTTATATAGATTTTAACACGAGTTCCCTAAACCCTTATTTTCTTCATTCCAACAAAAATTCAACCTTCACTTATTTCACTATTAGATGACAAGAACTATCATATTTAAACCAAGACTTGGGATATGAAGCCTGCACTCAAATTAAAGAGCAAATTGAAATTCATCATGGAAGCTTGTAAGAACCTCTACAAAATAATTAATTCTCTTTATGAACCTTGGGATAGAAATATGATCCTCTCATGACTTCAATGTTGAGTGCATGAATCAATTCTCAAATCAATTCTTTGAGTAGAGAGAGCTTCAAATGTTTGGAAAGATCTTCATAACAAATGTTCAGTGCATGGATCAAGGTACTCTTTTCCAAAATTTTACACTAAATTAAGATCAATTTGAGAAGGAATTAACCATTTTAAACCTATAACTGGCTACAAGTATTCCATTACTTGTTCTTATGGTGTTATGGAATATGTTAGAAAAAAAAAGCAATATTATGTGATTAGTTTTCTTAAAGAATTAAATGAGCAATATGTTCAAGTGAGATCTCCAATTATGTTGCTTGATCCCTTGCTTGATATCACTGAAGTCTTCAATATGGTAATACAACAAGAAAGGAAGTTGAATACAATTCTTACCCCTTTTTTATTCTGTTCTTTATCTTAAAACATTAGTTGTCATAACTCATAAGAATTCACAACCTAAGATTGTTGGAAATTATAATAATGGAAGAGGAAAATATGGTTACTACAACAAAGGCAGAGGAAGAAATTAAGGAAGAAAAGTCCAACAAGGAACCAAGTTTTGCACATATTCTGAAAGAACAAATTACACAGTTGATGCATGTTAAACAATGATTTCCACTAGGTTATCAATCTAAGTTTGTTTGAATTGTTAATACAACTAATGATTTCTTTAAATACTAATGAAAAATTCCTTTTGTGGTGACGAGTGTGATGAAAAATCCCATTCGAGGTAAAGGGTGTGATGAAAAATCCTTCTCAAGATGAAGGGACATGATGAAATTCCACATCAATTAGAGATACAATAACATTACAGTATACAGGGGAGTACAATCCTCACCTTATTAAACCAATTTGTAAGGTTGAGTTAGGTATTACTCAATTTCTAATATGGTATTAGAGCTAACTCTAGTGACATTGGGACATGAAAATCCTTCTCAAGGTGAGAGGATAAGATAAAAATGTTGAATATACAAGGATATGATGCCTGAAGATTTTGATGATGCTTTAGAGTCAAAGAACTTCAAATATTAGAAGACTCATATATAGTTGTATCTACTTGTAATAACCTTGTTTTATCTTTTTGAGTCTGTAAAAATAGAATCCAAGATAGTCAGCACACAGTCTGTCCATAGAAAGTTCGTTTTTATCCAAAATCCACTGTGATAATCGATTATCACCTGAGGATAATCGATTATCAATAATCAATTATTGATAATCGATTATCACTCATGATAATCGATTATCTCAGCTCTCCTAGGTGTTTGAAGATCTCTGGAATAATCGATTATCTTTGTCAATAATCGATTATCTTTGTCAATAATCGATTATCCTGGCTAAAATGTGTTTTCTGCAAATTTGGCTCTAGAATAATCGATTATCACTTATGATAATTGATTATTTGTGTCAGTTATGATTTTGAATTTCAAATTTCAGACCTAATTTCGAAAATCCTAATTTCTAAACCCTAAAATCTCTATTTAAGGATCTCTCTGGCTCTCTGTAAAGAACAACCTTTTTCATACTAAAGTTAAGAGTTGTGATAAGAATCACTGAGTGTGTTTCTTGGTGGATTATGTGTTGTGTCGTCTCTAGAAAAAGTTGTTGTCATCCTTTGTGGATTCAAAGGATGTGTTCATCTCTTGTGTGACTCAAGAGAGGTATTTTCTTATCCTTATCTTTTGTAATCTGTAATATGTTTAAAATTGTGATTATAATAACTGCGTTAATCCTCTTTTAGAGTGATTAACAACTGGACGTGGGGTCTTTTGATCCGAACCAATATAAATCAACTGCGTAATCTTCTTTCCCTTATCTCTTTACTTTTCAGTTATCGTTTAATCGGTAAAACTTGCGAAAATTTTTAAAAGGGAAAAGTTTTTATAAGAAACCAATTCACCCCCCCCTCTTGGTTTTTGTCCCCAAACGCAAACATTCTGTTGCGCGATACCAATAAGTGGTTCAGAGTTTGCTTTGATAGTTTTTCAAATTTTCGAAAATGGCCGGACAAAACCAAACCTTTGTTAAAGGTGCTTATATTAACAGATCCCCACTTTTTGCTGGATAAAATTATCTATTTTGGAAAGTAAGAATGCAAATATTTTTGGAGTCTGTTGACAGGGGTGTTTGGGATGTTGTTGTAAATGGTCCATTTATTCCAAAAATTACTATAGATGAAGTAGAGGAACCTAAATAATTTTCTAGATGGACTGCAGAAGAAAACATAAAAGCTCAATATGATGTTAGGGCTAGAAACATTATTTCATCTGCTTTGACCCTTGATGAGTTTTACAGGATATCTGTTTGTAAAAGTGCTCAAGAGATGTGGGAAATACTAAGACTTACACATGAAGGAACTGATGATGTTAAAAGAGCACGAAAGAACTCATTGGTACAAGAATATGAGATGTTCTGAATGCAACAAGGAGAAACAATCTTTGACAACCAAAAGTGTTTCACTCATATTGTGAACCATCTCACCGGACTTGGTAAGAGTTTTGATACTGACGAGTTAAATGTTAAAATTTTGAAATCTTTAGACAAGAAATGACAACCAAAGGTGACTGCTATCACGAAGTCACAAAATCTTACATCTATGACCATGGCGACTCTCTTTGGAAAGTTGAGACAACACGAACTTGAATTAGGAAGGCTAAATGATGAAGAAGGCCAACATCAAAAGAGAAACCTAGCCTTCAAAACTGAGGTTTCCAAGAACAAAAACAAGAAGGAGGAAGAAGACTCTGAAAATGAAGAA